CTGGTAAATCTAAAGGAAATTGTACAGAGATTGTACAAGTAGACCGCATAGGGTATGGCCATCTTTATACAAGTACATAGGAGGGAGTGGACGGAGACAGTCAGTTGTCGGGCCCTGTTCACATCTCCATGCAGCAAAAACTCACATTCCTGCACGTGTTTATTTTGGAGCGTTTCCACTTGTCACGCACAGAGCAGCCCATTCACTTCAAAGGGCTGCCCTACGCACAATTGCTCCAGAGAAGCTCCAACACTTTTTTTGGAACGAAGCAAAGCGCGTTTTTGGTGCATTTTGACTCGCTTAGGGTGCCTCACATGTAATGACAACACAAACACAATGCACATTTGCAGCGTGTTTCTGAAACGCATGGTAAAGTGTGCATTTTCTGAGCAGTTTTCCATGCGTTTGGAAACACACAGATGTGAATGGCGCCTCATTGTTCTTATGTAAACACACGGATTCCACATTCAGGCCCCATTCACACCTAGAGTAATGGGAGCACATTTATGGCTCATTTTTCCACGCGACACACATAGGGCAGCCCGTTGATTTCAATGAGCTGTGCTACACGTGGCAAAAAAGCAAAAAGGGACATTTGGCGTGATGTGGGTTGCAAGTTTTTTAGCGTTTTGCTGTTGTCATTTGTTTTTTCACATGGCAAAATTTATGCTCGTCTCTGTGTTTGGTGTGCCGGTAACAATTAATGGCACTGACAGGGCAACTAGTTAATTTTTTAAGTGTACAGTGAAAGGTGGCCATACACTAAATCTGATTGTGCAATCTCTGTAGTCTCCTTTAGATTTACCAAAACTATATTATAGGAAGACACACCATCTATCCAATCACTCTGTATCCAAATCAGACAGGCCCTTGCACTACATAGTTGGCAGAACTCTAAAAAGGAGATTGTACAAATCTGACTGTGTAATGTATGGCGAGCTTTAAGGAACCCAGGACACACGGATTTCAATACTACACTTCTATCCACATAGGCTGTTATCTCCTTCACACTGCTAAACGAACGCTCTATGCAAGATGAAATTAAGAGAAAAAAAAAAAAAATATGATGCCTGTGTATTTAGTGAGAGCGGTGATCACTGATTAATTGCATTGAAAAACTATGCACCTGCGGAAATGGGGGGGGTAGTCATCTGCTGGAATGGGGGAAGGCAGCCATAGGTGTGTGCTTATGAGGTCAGCTGATGAAATCCTGTATCTTACCAATTTTTTTGCCCTAAAGCAGGCCATAGACGGGTCGAACATCAGACGATTTAAAAAAAACAAACAAAAAAATTGGTCGTTCAATCGGCCGATGTTTCCACCAATGTTACGTTACCACCAACCGGTATTAACCCCATAACTTCTGTCCCTTGCAGAGACAGCGGAGCACACCATACAATGTGACAGGAAGAAGAAGAATTCTGGTCCGCTATTATATTTTATATGAAAAAGTCTTGCAGTTGCAACAAATATATCCATTTGTATCCAAATAAAAACATTGTAATACATTATTTGGAATACAAGGTTTTTATTTGGATACATTTGTTGCAACTGCAAGACTTCTTCATATAAAATATAATAGCAGACTGGAATTCTTCTTTTTTTGCAGGCCACGGCTCATGCGCAGATTTTTTTTAATCAGTAAAACGATCTGCTGATTTGCCCATCATTGCCGGTAAAATAGGCCAATTGTCAAAATAGGCCGCAAATTTTCCAACATGCCCGATAAAAGAAATGTGCAAAAACCCCGAAAAAACGGCCGACCAATTAACCCACTAACGGTGTGTGTGAAATTCGGCCGATTTTTTTAATCGCCCAAAAAATCTGCCTATTTTTGACTCATCTATGGCCAGCATAAGGGCTGGTTCACACTATGGAAACGCAGTCCAGATGCGTTTCTGCATGCAGGTTTTGGACGCATTCCAGCGTGGTTTTTATGCATTTTTGACACGTTTCAGTGTGTTTAAGCATTCCAGTTCATTTTTCCCCCCTCTCTTTTCCTTTAATTTATATAGGGACATGTGTATACCAGTGTGTTTGAGGGCTCGTTCACACTTGACTGTTTTACAAACTCTTGCAAACGCCCCTATAGTGTTTGGCAAGCGTTGGTCTGGCGTTTGCGGAGCGTTTAACGCTTGGCAAACGCCACATGCGCGGTTCAGCGGCGGTTGCTAGGCGTTTACCGAACGTTAAAAATGCCCCACAAACGCCTATAAATGAAGTTTGAATGATGTTACCGCTCCGCAAACGCCCCGCAAACCGCACCATAGACTAGAATAGGAGGCTTTAACCCCTCCTGACTCTACCAGAGGCGTCCGTTTTGACACGACGCTAACGCTCCCGTTAGAACAGCACTATGTGCAGAATTGTCGAAGGCATTTGGGAAGCGGATAAAACGCTTCCCAAATGCCTTTCTGCCCCCTGCACACAACGTTAGTGTGAACGTAGCCTTACTGCGTTCCAGTACAGTTCTGTGCAGAAAAAAAAATGCAGCCTGTTCTACTTTTTTCTGCAACTGGAACACACTGGAACTGCAAGCACTGATGTGAACTTTGACATTGACAACCATAGAACCTACTTTGTGCATTTTGAATGCAGAAAAAAAAGCAACTGAAATGCATGTAGTGTCAACTGGCCATAAGGCTAGGTTCGCACCTATGCAGGTTGCATTTGAGCTATTTCTGCATGGTGTTTTGCACCTGCGTTTTTGATGAGTTTTGTGTTTTAAAAAATCTGCTAGGCAGATTTAAAAACGCAAAGTGCATCAAAAACGCAATACATGCTTTTCTGCAACATTTCCATTGAAGTTTATAGAATGAAAAAATGCTACTTTTTGGGTTCAAAAAAGTCCCTGACCCTTTCCAAACAACGCACCGGGTGAAAATGCACAGATGTGAAAATGTCGCATAGGAAATCATGTTAAATGGACTGTACTGCATTTCTGCAAAATGCATAACACTGCGGAAAACGCTTAGGTGTGAAAGGTAAGGCTAGGTTCACACCTATGCAGTTTGCGTTTGATCCATTACAGCACTGCTTTTTGCACATACGTTTTTGACTCGTTTTGCAGGTTTTTTTTCTTGATACTAGGTAGATTAAAAACACAGCAAAAAAACGCACTACATGCTTTTCTGCAGCATTTTTATTGAAGTCTATAGAACCAAAAAAACGCAACTTTTTGTGTAAAAAAGTCCCTGACCCTTTCCAAAAAACGCACCGGGTGAAAAGCGGAGATGTGAACGTGTCCCATGGGAAATCATGTTGAATGAGCTGTATTGCGTTTCTGCAAAATGCTGCAGAAAACGCTTAGGTGTGAACATAGGGTCAGGCTAGGTTCACACCTATGCAGTTTGCGTTTGATCCGTTTCTGCAGTGCATTTTGCACGTTTTTTTTTTTTTTTTGTTTTCTTGTTGCTAGGCAGATTAAAACGCAAAAAACGCAAAACACTTCAAAAACACACTACATGCATTTCTGCAGCGTTTCCAATGAAGTCTATAGAACCAAAAACGCAACATTTTGCTTTTAAAAAAAAAGTCCCTGACCCTTTCCAAAAATACTCTGGGTGAAAACGCGGAGATGTAAAACGTGTCCCATAGGAAATCAAAAATAGTTTGCAAAACGGTGCGGAAACCGCTTAGGTGTGAACCTAGAGTTAGGACCAGTTCACACTACATGCGTTTCAGTTGCTTTTTGTCTGCATCCAAAAACGCAAAGAAAGTAGGTTCTATGGTTGTCAAGGTCATAGTTCACATCAGTGCTTGCAGTTCCAGTGCTTTCCAGTTGCAGAAAAAAAAAACCAAAAAAAAAAAAAAAAAAAAAAAAACACAAAAAGAACATGCTGCATTTTTCTGCACAGAACTATATTGGAATGTGGTAAAAACACACCAAAATAAAAAATGCACTGGAACGCACATGTCCCTATCTGAATTGAAGAAAAAGAGGAGGAAAAATGAACTGGAATGATTCAAAGACGCACCTGCATTTCAATAGTGTGAACCGGCCCGAAATCTACATATCAGCAAGTGATGAAGCTTTCTAAGAAAATTCAGCAAGGGCTTAGGTAAGGCCTTAGTCTCAATATCAAAGAAAGATTTTATTTTTTCTGCAACAGAGGTACATTGAATAGTATATTGGTACATAGGGGAGCTAGAATTTAGGAGGGGGGGGGGGGGGGGGTTGGGGTGAACTTAGCCTTTTAATGCATTACACATAATTTTAAGTCTTGTCAAGCAAGGCAACTATAACATGCATTTTACAGCTCTATCCACTCCTAATTTTAAACTCAATGAAGAGCATTGGTAGGCGTTCAGGAAGCTGCAAAGAAGTGTTGCCTCCTGTGTGAACAGGACTGAAAAGTTAACCTAATCCTGAATTCCTGTTTAGGAACAACGGTTTTCTGAACCTGATCTCAGTCCAGCATTGTGCATGTCAGCAGCAGCTCTTCTCCAGGCTCTAATAGGCTTGGCCGAGAGCAGTGGAAGCGATTAGCCCTGTCAGTAAAAAAAAAAACCTGTGAGCAGAGAGCTAGGATGAGGCATGCTGTGTGTTTGGATAGATGTAAACAGCCCAGCTCAGGAGCGAGCCCGTACGAGTGACCACCATAGAAAGCAGCTTCCTGTGGTGTGCATTTGGCAGGGAGAGGAGCCAGGAGCACTGGCGAGGAACCTGAGAAAAGAAGGATCTGGCCTACTCTGTGGAAAACCATTGCACAGTGCAGGCAAGTATGACATGTTTTTTACCATTAAAATAACAAAGGTTTGCATTCACTTTAAAGGGTGGACCTCATCCAGCAGACACTCCCATTCCTTATTAATCACTCCCCATCTGTACAGCAGAAGCCAGCAGTTTCAAACAGAGTAGAGAGAAATCTGTTTTCTGCTGCTCAGTTTAAAACCTAAAACCATAAAAAAAAAAAAAAAAAAAAAAAAAAAAAACTGGATATTACAGGCTTGACACCAACCTGCTCGTTATGGCCACGTTTGAGGTCCCTCTGAGTGTCTCACTGAACAGTGCATGTTGTACAACACTGATCCTGCTTCTCAGGCAGAGATGCATAGTTCATTTGCCTGACGATCTCCGCAAACAGTTCATCCACCATAGTCTTGCTCTTGGCAGAGGTCTCCATAAAAGGGCAGCCCCATTCCTGAGCTAGAGAGCGGCCTTCTGTAGACATGACTTCTCGCTCAGACTCCAGGTCAACCTTGTTACCAACCAGAATAAGAGGTACCTTCTCATATCTCTTTACTCTGACTATTTGGTCCCGCATTGGCTTGATATCCTGGATAAAAACAAATATCAACTAAGTTAAATAGTTCACATAATGTAGTTTACAAGCAAAAAAGGTTTCTATTGATTTAAAATACAGACTTTTAAAGCAGACCTTTTGTTTAAGCGGTATTAAACCCAAAATCAAAACATACTGCAGCTTACTATTTCTTAGAATTGATAAGTCTTTTTTTAGTTTCGCTCTTTCCTTTATTTTTACCTGCTGATCTGGCCAGTAAGTCTGTTGTTGTTCAACAGAACAAGCTGTCCTGCAGATGTAGCAGCTACAGGGTTGGGTCAAACCATTTACCACTGACAGGGGAGCTTACAATGATCAACGTTTATGTAAACCTTTTTCCCTAAAGGATGAAAAACTGCTTATAAAAGGGTTATCTGAAGTTCAGCTTCAATTTGTTAGTGTATCTAAATCTGCTAATACATCTAATACTCCCCTCCCCCCAGACTAACAATGTTGCTGTCTGGACGAAAGAGCACAGGGGCACATTTAGAGTGGAGGCACTACAGGAGGCGTGTTACTGGCCAAATCACCAGGTGAAAAAGCCTAGAAAACTGATGCAGCCACTACATTGGAAAGCTGCAACAGAGTACATTTTGGTTTGGGGTTTAAAAAAAATCTGCTACACCAAAATTTCATATTCCTGACATGTGTCTGTTGTACCATGTACGTGTGTTAAAAAGTATTCAGTTCTGCTCTTATTTCTTCATATGTGTTAAATACCTGGTGTTCCTGTTAGTCCTGCTTTCCTATTTCAAACTGGCCAAGCTAGGCATGAGAGCACATCCATCCCAATGTGGTTAGTTTTCTGGCTGTGCTGGAAACACAGCCTGCCTTCAATGGCTAAGACTTTTAAGTGCTCTGAGCAGCCATTCACTGGGAAGATCAGTGCACTGCTGGGGACTTCAGAAAAAAAAAAATTTTTGCTTAATTTTGTTTACTAAATCTGGTTTACTCAGAATCTGGTGCACCAGTGCATGGTAGCCAATCAGCTTCTAACCTCAGCTTGTTCAATTAAGCTTTAGCAATAAAACCTGGAAGCCGATTGGTTTCCATGCAGACGTGCAGCAGATTCTGAGTGAACCAGCTTTATTACATAAACCCCAGTATGTTATGCCTAGTACACACCATGAGAATATTGGATTAATTATCGTTTTTTTTTTCATTCATTTTTTAGCATGCTACTCTCATATCTAATGCAAGAGTACTATTGATTCTCGTACAACCCAGTACAACTTCCCGTGTGAGTAGCAATGTACCAGCGTGTAATCTGAAGGTATGTTACGTACATGTAACCCCCACACTTTCGGCTTTACCCAGAGTGTTGCGGTATATTGGTCTCTGTACGTAGATTTGTTCGCCTCACGACCTGGAAACAAATTAGTTTTTTTTTCATGTTTAGGGGCATTTTCACTGCAGATGAACACCGGTTTCATTGCCCTGTTTCCTTGTGGGTTGTCTTCATGTTTCCAAGCATGCGCAGTCTTTGTCAATCAATTTTTACAGAGAAATACTATACAGATTAAATGAAAACCCATTCGTTTTGTAATCTTACAAGAAAACATTTTGTGCCTCTCCCTTTGGATAATTTCAAATGAACTGTTATAATCTGCAATTGAAAGCTGTGTACTAAAAGGAATAGATTACTGGAAAATCGCTCCAAATGCGCCCCCCCCCCCCCCCAATCAGATTTTCTCATTGTTTGTACCAGAGTGGATTTGATTTAAATCAAACTGATTTAAATCACGATTTAAATCACTAGTCAGTAAGGCTTGATTTAAATCCTAGTTTTCTACATAGACTAATTCTTGCTGGTATAACTTTAATATGCAAGTAGATGAAGATTTTTAGAATAACAACTTTTAATATTAGTTTTTTTTATCCCCAGTTTAATAGGTTAATCATTCATATTTCGACAACTTTTCTGTTGTACTTAGGAAGGAGAAAAATAATCATTACCTTAATAATAACAATTTAAATAGATTTATTCAACTGAAACAATAACATTCCAGCATATGTGTATTTGCTTAAACAAACATCCATGTTTGTTAACTAATTTGGCTAAAGAAAATATATATATTTTAAGAAACAGACTGTCAGCCCCTTCCTCCTCACACTTAGTTTCATTTTCTTCTTGTGCAGATCTATTCCACTCCAAACAATCAGAAAAATATTGTTTCTATTCTATTCACTGAACTTCTTGAAACTTAGCACTGAAGGGGTTGATTCTGTATTCATAGGTTTGTAGAAGTTAGGATTAATGTCTTTTTCTTAACTCTGTTCATGTTATAACATTTTTGCTGTGAAGAAGAGGCATCTGATCTCCGCTGAGTCAAATTCAGTTTTGAGAACTGCAAGAGTAAACCAAACATCTGTGATAATATCTTGTAGGCAGAGAAACTGCCCAATAATCTTACAAAAACCTCTGGAAGAGCATGACATTGTGAATGGATTAATGGAATTTATTTACCAAAAAAATTAAACATATACAGCCTTATTCTACATAATTAAAAAACTAATCTTTATTTCATGATGGAAAAACCTTTGGTTGGTAATATATTTTCCTCAAAAAGCATTTTATTTAAAAAAAAAAATCAGATTTAAATAAAAAAATCCGATTATTTTTATTTTTTTAAAAAAAATCATTGATTTTTATCCACCCTGGTTTGTACTAGGTATAAGTAGACTGGACAGCAGCTGTGAGAATTCAGGCAACCTCTGAACCCCCAACATAAGCTAAAGTGAAGTGTTAAGCTTCGGACACATGATGAGAATATAGGACAAACAATCGCCCGTTTTTTTCCCCTGCTAATCTCATATCGAAATCGAAAAGGGTATTGAAGATATGAAAATTCTCCTATGAAAGCAAAGAATTTTGAAAGTGACGTCATGTATTGTATTTTCAGATGACTACTGTACTAATTAAACGAAAATCGTATGAGAAAATTTTTGCGCTTGTAATTCGGATATTGTCGCACAAATTGTTGTGATTGGCTCTCGAAAGCTGTGTACGAACGATCCAATTATCGAACGATCGGTCCTTGTACGAAAATTTTCATACAATATTCTTATGCAGGCCATAGATGGGTCGAAAATCGGCTGAAAATAAAATCGGCCGATTTTTGGATCGTTAGTGGGCTATTTGGTCGGCCGTTTTTCGGTATTTTGGCCGTTTTTTTTTTTTCTGTAAAGTTGGAAAAAAATCTGCGCATGAGCAGTGACCTGCAAGAAGAAGAAGAGGATGAAGAAGAAGAGGAAGAGGATGAAGAAGAAGAGGAAGAGGATGAAGAAGAAGAGGAAGAGGATGAAGAAGAAGAGGAAGAGGATGAAGAGGAAGAGGAAGAGGATGAAGAGGAAGAGGATGAAGAAGAAGAGGAAGAGGACGAAGAAGGAGGATGAAGAAGAAGATGAGGATGAAGAAGAAGAGGATGAGGATGAAGAAGAGGATGAGGATGATGATGAAGAAGAAGAGGATGAGGATGATGAAGAAGAAGAAGAGGATGAGGATGAAGAAGAAGAAGAAGTAGGATGAAAAGAAGAAATTCCAGTCCAGCAAAAAGTGTCTCTGCAGAGAGCTCCGCTTTTTCTGACAGTTCTTTGACATTTACAGCGGTTGCAACAATGTATCTATTTGTTTCCGAATAAAAACATCTGTATCCTAAATGGAAACAAATAGATACAATGTTTCAACCGCTGTAAATGTGAAGGAACTGTCAGAAATAGCGGAGCTCTCTGCAGGGACACTTTTTGCCAGCTGTAGAAGGGATGAAAATCGGCCGATATTTTTACCATTGATGGTAACGTTGGCTGCTTGAACGACCGAATTTTCGTTTTTTAAAAGAAAAATCTGCCGTTTTTCTCCCCATCTATGGCCTGCATTATAGTGTGTACGGGGCATTAGGCTCCTTGCACGTGGGGCTGTTCAGGTGCAGTGGGGGAGATTTACTAAAACTGGTTCACATAGAATCTGGTGCAGCTGTGTATAATAACCAATCAGCTTCTAGCTTCAGCTTGTTCAATTAAGCTTTGGCAATAAGGCTGCATTCACACTTGAGCGATTTGAAGCTTGAAGCTCCAAAAACACTCAAACTTAAAAAATCAATTGTTCTCTATGGTGCCTGTCGTGTAAACAGACACCATAGAAAACTGATTTATTTATTTATTTATTTATTTTTTTTTTTAGGTTTGAGCTTTTTTGAAGCATCAAGCTACAAATCAATTATGTGTGAATGCAGAGTCAAACTTAGAAGCTGATTAGTTACTATGCACAGCTGCACCAGAATCTTTCACATGGGCGTTCCGTTTTTTCTCATCAGTTTAGTCACTTTTTTTCCCCCCCAAGCAAAAACGGATCAGTTTACATCCATTTTCATCTGTTTTTTGTCCGTTCTGGGTTTTTTTTTAACGGAAGAAAAATAGGGTTTTCTTCAGTTGAAAAAAAAACAGATATTAACGGATACAGACATTAACGGATGTAAACAGATGAACATCATTTACATCCGCTAATCCATAGAAATACATTGGTGTCCATTTTTCATCCATAAACGGACAGTTGAAAAATGGACATACAGAACGCCCATGTGAAAGAGGCCTTAACCTACCCCAGTGTGTCCCCTCTGAACACTGTGCCTGTCCCTCCTGGGCATATAGTATACTGCTAGACCGACCGCTTGTCAGGGTCAATGGAGGGCTGATCAGGGTCAATGGAGGGCTGATCTCTGTACTGCATTTAGGACCCTATGTGTTCAAGGACAGAGATCAGGAACACAAAAGATCTGTATTCTGGACCTTTGTTCCTGAAGGCACAGGATTCAAAATGTAAGTACCACTCAACATTCAGCCCTGTCTATTCACAGCCTGCAACTGTCCCCCTCAAGTATACTAAACCACCATGAGGGACACGCTGCACCTAGATGGCCCTGTGCGCAAGGAACCTTAGGCTTAAAAATAATGAATAAAAATAAGACAAAGTATACATTATTTTATCTGTAAACCTG